AAGGAGTTCAGATATTCTGGGGCTGAGAGTCCACTATGGTTATTTCTACCTACTTAGACTAGTAGTTAAAAGCCAGATGTATATTTTTGCCAAAATATATATCAATATAAGAATGTAAGTGTACACATGTGCATAAGTTCCCACTTACAATCATCACATTTTATATCTCATGAGAGTGTTGGTGCCTTACCCACATCCCCATGGCCTATCACAGAAGCCACCTACTAACAGTTGCTTCTTAGGCAAAAAGCTTGTCTCTCCCCGAGGCCCATTCTCTGGCCAAGAGCATTTCTACTCTCTTCCCTCGTCTCCTTGGTCTCACCAACCTCATTTCTTGTCATTCTTGACTATGTTTCTGCCCACATGTACATTACTTAAAATATTCTCTCCACCCTTTGTGTAAATTTTGTCTTCTTCAGAATCTCTGAGAACTCTTCAATGAAGAATCTCCCTAAACTGTTCACTCTTCCGCTTATCATCCAACTCTCACCTTCACTATGGCAATGGTTTCCTAATCCATGTTCCTGTTTCTGATGTTCTCTCTCACAGTCCACTCTCTACACAGCAGGCGATGTGATCTTTTAAAAACATAAATCAAATCATGTTACTTCCTTGCTTAAAATTTTCCAATGGCTTCTACTTACACTTGAAAGAAAGTTTAAACACCTTCCTGTAGCCTATGAGACTCCATAATATCTGCAATCTGCTAGCCTCCCCGATTTCATTTCATACCATTCTCTCCCTCACCAGCCACCCTGTTGTTTTCTGTTTCTCAGACACACAAACTAAAAGACTTTTGTACTTATTATACACTCTGACTGGGTGTCTTCTCCAAATCTTTGCACAATAACTCTCTTTTTATTCAAATTTCAGCTCAAATGTCACCTCCTCAAAAAGACCTTCCCCGGTCTTTTTAAAGGAGTAATTCTCTATCACATTTTCTTACTTAATTTTCTTCATAGTACTTATTATTGTCTGAAATTGTCTCACTCTATAAGATTTCTTTATTATCTGCCATACTACTATACTGTAAGTTCTATGATAACAGGGATCTTATCTATATTATTCACAAGTTAGTCCTTGTGCCTGGAACTTTAGCAGGTACTATATACTCAGGTATCCAGTGATGATAACTCCTTTCTAAATTATACTCTAAAGCAAAAGAAAAAAAAAATGTAAGGAAGGGAAGGCTCAAAATATCATGTACATTGTAATTTATCTGTTTGATATAAGTAGCTATACATAATTTGCACCAAAAAATTGTATGTAATCTGCAGAAAAGATCACCAACATTATATAAGTTTATCTGTCCTTTCTACAGTTGCAATCTAGCAGATACTCATTACACACAATATCATATACAGGTCATGAAACATCACAAAAATATTCTTCTCCATGCTTATTAACATCAAAAAGAATAATATGCTGTACATTTTTCCATGAAAAAAAATTATGCAAATGTATTCCAGCCTAATGAGTCAGTCCTAATGAGAACAAAAGCATGTTTTAGTGGACAGAGTCAACATTCCTCTGCAAAAAAGGTATTGACACACCGGGTGCCATGATGAAAGTGGTAGTGGTTGTGGAAAGAGAAGGATAGTGACTCTTATTTACACTAACTTTCCAACCTTCAAATGGCTCTCACTAATTAACATAGCACATTAAATTTATAATTCAACAATTTGGTGTCTATAAAATAGGTATTTATGATTAAAATCAGAATCTAAAACTTTTTATCTCAAACTGGTCCTTGAAATCCTATTTCTAAAATTTCTATTCTCCTTCTTTGCTTATGCCATTACAAATTATTTTTCTTGCTTGAACCTATGTGGTCTCATATTTTGTTGCAGTGTCACCTCAAAATAATCAGAATTTTTACATTTAAAGATTTTTTTTTCTAATCAGGAAGTGGGAATTAGCAGGACTTCTTTGCTTTGTCTTCACCTTCTCTGACAGAAAACTTCCTCTGTGGTCATGACATTTCAAAGTAAAACCCTTCCTGAATCCAGGAGATAAGAAACTTTTAGGGGTTGTTTCTAACAGTTCATGAATGAGGGCCATGAGGGCCATTACAGAAAGTAAATAACAATGGAAACTGTACAAGTGCTGAAAAAAAATGTTGTTATTTTTTAGATTTTCTTTTAAATTTTATTTCTTCACAACTATTTTTTGGGACTCAATTACAAGTACAGAATATGATCCATTAAAGAAAACTACAAGTTTTACTTAATTTCATAAACATCTTTTTTGACTTCATATTTATTTTAAAGTAGAATGAGATAAAATGTTTATTAAATTTTACATTAGCACAGTCCTCCCACTCGAACACACACTCACACATACACACACACAATATATGTAGGTTTGCAGGTCTGCCCAGAAACTTAAAATCCTTCTATTGTTTTTTTCCTGCAAAGAAAAATTGGTTAGTGATATGGTACTCACAGTATAAGTCATTACAGGTCTGATATTACAGTTGTTACACAATATTGAATCTATCCAGTGAAAAAGAAGCACAAAGGGAATTTCCAAATGCAGCTGCTATTTCCCATTTGTTAAATCCTTTTATTACACCATATAAGTACACAGCTGGGAAATACTATAGAGTGGGAGTTTAAACAAAATATTTTGGCTTCTAGTCATTTGGAATACACAAAGGCTCCAGTGGAAAGCAATGTTTGACAGCAAAAGAAAGTGAAAGTTTGAAAACATGTCTAGCAAGTATGATTTCTTTTACATTAATAGTTAACTTATTTGTACCATTAAACTGTTTTATACTATCATAAACCACATTTAATATAAATTTGGTAAGAAAATTATTAATATATATTTTAAGACAAAATTTTAGATGATAAAAGTTTGAGAATAACCCACCAAAGTAACTTGGGACTTATCAAGATACAAACACAATTTTTCTAGGAAAAATAAGTATAGTGTTCTCAAAGAAATAAAATTTGAAGTGTTTTATTTCTTATTCTCCCCATATTTTCCAGTGCAGTTATTTTTATTTGTCTATGACTAGATTTGGCATAAAAGCCAAAATATATCTTAAACCTATCCTTTCTCTCTAGCCACTCTTCCTTTACACTAATTCAAGCCATTCATCTCTCACCTAGACTTCTGAAATAGACTCCCAGTGGGTCCTCCTTCTTTCACTCTTGTCTCTCTCCCATCCATTCATTATATCACAGCCAGAATTTATCTGTTTGAAATGTTTTTGAATGCTTCAAACGTTTTCCATTGAACTTAGATCAAATCTCACATCCATAATGTTATCTCCAAGGTCCTGTTTGATATAGCCCCTACCAATCTCTCCAACTATATCTTACGTTATATTGCATCCTTCATCGTAACTCTCCAGCGATGAAGGCCATCTTTTACTTTCTGACATTAAGCAGTAACTTTCTCACTTCAAATACTTCATACATGCTGTTCCCTCTGCAGTTTTACTCTTTGTTCCACTCTAACTGGTTAGTTCTTACCATCCTTGGCTCAGTGAGGGCATTCCTAACCATCTATTCTAAATTAGGTTTGCCTCATTATGTTCTCACATAGCATTCTGTTCTTTCTCCTCATACACAGCAAACATCATATTTTAATTATATATTTCTGTATATATTTATCTAATTTCTATTCCCTCTCCTAGACTATAAACTCCATGAAGGAATGAATCATGTCTGCTTTGTTCACCACTATATAGTCAGCACCTAATAAGAATGCTTGGCACATAGATGGTACTCAATAAATATTTGTTGAAATAAAAATGAAACAGCGCTCCATTATCTTGACAATAAGCAAGTGGCAGTGACTGGATATCTATTTCACCTTGGAGGTGTTAAAATGAACAACTTAAGTTCAATCATAAAAACAGACTTGCTTTATTACCTTCTTCCTACTCAAGAAAACTAATCTTCCAGTGGATCTAATTGTACAATTTTGATCCCTTTCAAAACTAAAATTAGTCTAGAAACTATCTTTCAATCCTCTGCTTCTTACCTACTGCTCCAGAGCACTGGCTGTGTCTGCAAAATCATCTGAAAAAGAAAAATGTCTGCCTTCATAAATTATTGAGTTAAGTCTCTGAGACATTAAGCATTGAATAAGAATCTAAATATGTGTTATTAGTAGTAAATGTATTGGAAATATTACCTTATTTTTGTTAAGAAATAAAAATTTTCTCAGTGCCCACTTAAAATAATTTTCATTAACTTAATTTTAGTTAGCCAAAAATTAAGAAATGCAAAATGGGGTTTAAAACTTCTAATCTAATAAAATATATTAAGATTTTAATCTCTTCTAGATGCTAAAAAAATTGAATATTTTTGCTTTGAACTAGATAATTAATGTCACTGGCTATGGTTTCTGTTTTGATGATTAGGGATGGAATTTAACATAGGAAAGCTGGTTAAATATACTGCATGTATTTGATGTTGTTTCTACTTTTTGAGAAAACTCCTGTAGTCTGATTGAATGATTCTCAGCTGGTTTGCATGCCCTTTTGAAATTAATATATAGGCACATAAGTGAGAAAAGCTTTATTATAAATCAAGAATGACCATTAAAAATTATAAATACCTGCATTTTCTCATTGAAGGTATATTCAACATATGATCTCATTCACGCAGTTGTATTTGCTTAAATGTTTCAATATTAATACATAGCCATACTTTATTTGATCATATCTATTTTGTGATATTACCAAGTTAACCACCTTAAATTCATGGATTCATAGAATAAGATAACCAATCCCCCACACAAAAATCAATCAATAAAATATATTCTTGGCACACTGACCTAATAATAAACGTATATACACTAAATCACAAACCATTTTTCAAGTTTTTTGAGTTATTAGTATCTTAGTAATATGTACCTGGTAGTTGTTTCATGATCTAAACAAAAATAACTCTAAGGTCATCTATTTCCCTAAAATATCTATTTATAATGAGGACATACTAAGGAATACATTTAGTGGCAGTGGTCAGATTTTAAAAGCTCACCATTCTTTGCTGAGATGACAGAACGCTGTCCCAGTCAGCATCTTGTTGAATGGTATTGACAAGTGTCGGTAGCTCCTCAGAGTGAGGTTTGTTGTGCATTATGGGGTGTAGAGGCAGATGGGAGGCCACATGTTGATCGCTGACTTCTTCCTTTTCCCTTGAGGTTAAATCCTGGGTTATCGCATCCTCTCCATCAGCTGCACAGGCAAATGGAGAGGTGGCTTGCTTGGAAGACATTCTTCTGCAGAAGAAGGAAAACAGAATGGATTAAAAATGGCTATCAATAACAAAACATAAACCAACCCTTGCATTTGGGCTAGTTCAGGAAAAAAGGAAAGTTATTTAACTTTAGAGATATTTGTGATCCACTCTAAACCCCAGAAAAAGAACTCTTGGCTTATGTGTCCTGCTTTCCCTCTTTGCTTTTAACTCAGCAAACCTCTTCCCAGTAACTACTGCATATTTTCTCTCCTATAATCCATTAATGATTTTTTTACAGAGTAAGTTTTCATAATGGACAGGGTATGTATGCGTATATTTTCCCTCCTAGTTTTCTTAACTAGATTATAAGCTTCTTGAGAGTATTTAGGGTGATAGTTAGCAATGGAAAAAAATGAATGAATGAACTGGCAAATGAGTCAGTTTGCAAGATGATTTGAAAGCACAAATATCCAACTTTCTCCTATGGTTTATGTAGGAGCAAAAGAAGTATATGTAGGAAAGTATAATCAGGAGAGTAAATAATTCATAATTAAAGTCCTAAACAAATCTGATCCTGACTTCTTTGTTTATACTTTGTATTATTAGGGCTGGGCCTAACACTACTTAGTGCCATCTAAAGCTTGTTAAAAGACCTTTAAAATGACTCAATTGTTGTAACTTAACTTTTAAGTGACATATTGATTGAGTGGCTGATACTGTTAGATTAGTTTTAGGACAATTTTGTAGCATTTGAATTGAGTATCTGAAATAGCTATACCTCTATTTTGTATTAGAAAGTACATTAAAGATGCAAAGCATTTACCATGAAAATAGTAAAATGCCTACTGTGCATAATATTTAAAACCTCCAAATACAATACTGAACATTCATTTATGTGCCCACAAATAAATATCAACTACACTCTGCATGACAAGGGCTCCATTTTGTACCCTCATATGAAATCAGAAAACCATGATTATTAAGTAGAATTTCAAAATGTTTAGAATATCATTTTATCAAGATGCATTTCTTGGCAAAATGGTTAGAAAATAAAACCACTGAAAGTTTATAACTTAACAGAAGAGGGAATATAGCATTTTTTCTAAAACTTTACATCGTTTTTAGTTTATTACATCTTTAGCTGTAAAACTGCTGTGTAATGAAAGGAATAAAATCTCCACCTTAATTGCTATTTAGCATTAATTGATTTCATACCATTTTTAAAAAAACACACAAATCAGTTAACATAGGAAACCACATGAGCATTTTTCAAATTAGCAAATCATTAACTTGCTAGTACTGTTTCTGCAGACAAATAAATACTGATTAAAGGGTCTAGAAATCTGAGATTAACAGTTAAATTTACAAATCTGTCACATGCTTTCATGAATATTACAGTGAAGGAAATATCAAGTGCAAGAAAAATAATTAAGTTAATTCCAATTTAAACAGTAGTTTTTATGTAGCAGCCCATATTTCACATAGGATTTAACAGCTAATGCTAAATTTCTCACAATTAATGAGGGGGCTCAGATTTAGTATCCTACAGTGAAAAAAATTAATATAAGATCAGCTAATCTAATTATGCACAGTTCTAAATAAAAGTATTACAGGCTTTTGAAGTGCTTTGAAACATATTAAAATGCTGATACCAATTTATAATAATCATTCTACAAATAACAAAAAATGTATCTATTAAATTTGATACTAGAAAATAAAATGGGGGCAAGGGAATGCAAAAGAATGCCTATAATTTCTTTGAGAAGAAATGAATTAAATGTTCTAAAGAGTGCTATATCAATAAATCAGATATATTTTTGACCAATTTATACCAATAATAACAAATGAACAAACATATACATGATTATGAAAAATGGTAGCCAATGGATGCTTCTAGAATTACTATATGGCTTACTTTACTGGCCCCATAACTACTATTATTAAAACCAGGCAAATTATAACTGTTCTGCAAGTTTATCAAGAGCTTGCCACAAACAAGAGTTATTTCCTGTTTCAGATACTGACAATATCAATAATCATTCATGTTAAAAACAAAAGAATGAATGTACTTCTGCTTTTTAAAATAGTTAAATACAGTTGGAAGTCATGATCCAAAAATCAGTTACTTTAGTTCCTTCAACAGACATCTTCTTATTATAAAGTGAATTGGCTCCTTCTAATAGCAATGTCTATGATTGCTGCTTTAGTATAAATTAATCATGACAAAACTCAAAATGAAAACAGTCTCTTAAGAATAATTTCAACTATAAACTTCACCAGTGAACAATAGTGCACAATCCTAATTAAATACAACTCTGCAGCTGTAAAAATAGACTAAATCTATGAGTTGAGTTTAAAGGATGGTTTGTTAGAATGTTTTCTTAAGGAAGGCTGGGTCCTCAGTCTTAATCAGCCAATAAATTATTTCCTGCAATTACATTAAATAGAAAATTATCTTCAAATGGGGAGTGTTAATTGAAAATCAAAATTCAGAGGGAAGTTTAGAAATTACACGCTGAATACAATTAGTGAGGAAAGGCTTCACCTCTATTCATCAACAGTCTTCTTGTGATTCCTCCAGTGGCCATTCAGGAATGCTACCTATTTATAACATCTCACAATTTGTCTTTTATTTTGCACCTACAAATACATATGTGTATCAAGGTTTCAAATAAAACATAAGCTGCCAATAAAAGCAATATTAAATCTGAGTGTTCATCCTCAGTTCACACTATCACTAGACGAAAAGGAGATAGGGGAGGTAGGACAACAATGGTTATCAAGAAAAACACACTCAATTTTGAAATCCCTTTCCTTAGCAAAGGAATTAACATTTTTTGTTCCAAAAATACTTTTCCAAATCATATAATTTCTTGTTTTTACTTTATTATAGTCCTTAAATGCATTGCTAGTGGAGAAAAAGATGGGTTTTGTTTTTAGCAAGGTATTTCCTTGAGCATTTCCTTTTGGTAAAATTGTTGGGTTTTTTTTGTTTACATCTTTTTTTATATTTGGTTTTGCTGTTGATTTTTGTTTTGGGTGGTGGTTTTGAGTTTTGCTATAAAACGTGCACAAATTGTTTTTAATGCAGAGTTTATTAAAGTTTAAATTTGCTGATTATTAGATCTGATTCACTGATTTTTTGCATAATTACTTTATTAAATAATCCTGATGACATCTCATTCATTTCTTTACTTTAGCTTTCCCCTTTAAAACATTTTACTCAACCAACCAAACTGTATTCTAGAAGCTTCAACGACACTTGACTTTTGGTAATGCCTTTACTATAACCACTGTACCACAGTTACTCTCCTTTAGAAACTCATAAATCAAATATACCCACGTTTCAGTGTTTTAAAGTGTCACGTGGAATGCTTACATTTATTTTAATGCTCAGTCAGTAATTTTCCATTGCAAAAATTTTCAACCCCAACATATTAAAACAGCACCTTACTTTAGCTGCTGCCTTATAGAACTAATAAGCAAAAGAAAATCAAAATCCTTGCGGAATGGTCAATTTCGATGTGACTATACTTTGTTTTATTTTTGCACTATTATAACTTAAAAATCATTCAAATGAATTGTTTTTTTAATTTGTATTAAAAAAAAAATCTCCCTAGTTATACCCCCTGAAAACAGGGGTTTATAATGGAAGTGCTGACACAACCCTAACTAAAGCAGCGCAAATGTTGCCGCTATAATACACAAAATCAAGTTCTATTATTCTAAACTATCCTCGCTCATGGGATTTTTCTTTACTGTGCTCCCAGCCAAACTGCTGAAGCATGAAAAATTTAAATGCAATCAAATGCGCCCAATTCTACTTTACTAGAACAAGTGTCTACAGTGGTACAATCTTAAAAGGAGATGCAACAGATTTGTTTGGTGTTTTTTTTAACTGTTTATTTATAATACAGTGCATTGGAGATAAAATAAAAGAGGAAATTACACTCACATGGTACCAGTGTATTGACTACACAGAGTACATTATAATCAGAGAGAAAAACTACATTGTCAACTTATCACATTGGTTAAACAAGATGGTTTTCTGGGGCATAGCTATTATCAAGTAAAACCTTCAAAGAGAAGTAAATATCTTTGGGACACATAAAACTAAATTCCCATCATATGTTCCCTGAGTTTGAAATGTCTCTGCCCAACAATCAAGTGAACCCAAGATGTCAGGCCACTGGGAAGAACTCGGGCTTAGGACTTTGGGAAATGAGATTGCTGGAGATAAAGCTTCCATTTACTGAGAATGTTCTCTAGGAAGTCAGTAGGAACACCTCTAGAAAGGTGATAATTATTCTACTCCAAAACACCAGTACAAAGTCTGAATGTTTGGGCTATTACAAACTTACTCAGACAGTAAACTTATTTTCTGTTCTGCAACAATAAATCAAAATTCGTTGGCCCAAGACTTTATAAAATGATGAGAATGCTGGATACATGTACATTAAGTCCTCTATCTCAGAATATCATATTTTCTAGAACTTTTCTGATTTGACATTATTCTTTAAACACAGTTATTTTTATATGTTTAAAGTCAGGATTATTTTTAAACAAACTTCAAACTTTTAAACTTTCTCATAAGACAATCACTCAAAATTACATTTTTTAAATTACAGCTTGAAAAGTATCCATCTTTCAAAACTATCATTTGAAACTTATATAATTATCAAAAAGAGTCACTGAATTCATCATAGCAATATATTTAACTGGGTTTTTGAAAATATTTCCATTATTTTTATGATTATTATCAAATGGCATTCACTTTCCAGGTGTGTTACATTTATTCAAAAGAAGTCCTGTTTTTAACATAAAGCAACATTTTAAGAGTTGTTCTACTCATTTAAAAAAATTAAAACTTCAGGCCAACATTCACACTTATTTTTGCAGCTCAGCTCCAGGCTATCTGGTAGACTCATTTCTGTCAGATAATTCACTGTTAATACAATGCTGTACTTGAGCTGATACTGAGAAATAAACAACTAATTTTCCAAAAATATAACACAGTGCCTCTCATTTTAAGGAACATGA